CGTGAGAGGTTGCTAGTTTTGGAACGTTTTAAGGTTCAAACACAAACACTATCACTAAAAGAAAGTCCCCTTCAAAGCAGCAGCAACAGTCTGTGCAACAAGCTTTTGTATCGCCGTTCCCGGGTGATAGCGGTCATACCAAAGACACGACCTGCCGTTGGAGTTGCTGCAGTTGATGTCAGGAGCCCCATATGCCTTCGGGTCACTGAGTGCGGCCTCCCATGGCGGGTGCGTATCGATGATCGTTATGTTGGCCTCAGGGTTTGCCGCCTTGAATGTCGCGACTCTTGTTGGCAGCTGCGTGTTCCAATTGCTGATAGCACTGGTGAGGTCAGCCACCTTGGCGTTGGACTTCATCTGCGGTGTCTTGTTTGTGGCTATGGACATGTCAGCTTGAAGTGATCACCAAAGCCCGTTCCGAAGAAGGAGAAAGCCGCTCACGAGGAATGTTTAGCAACACAAAGTTCCTCCCCCCGCCGGTGTACAGCGTCCCGAGAAGGCTAAAGTATCGGTCCAGATCCTTGGTGATGAGTGTCGAGCCAGATTTCTCAAACGAGTTGCCGACATCATTCACGCCAATCCAGACACCAAAGAGGGAATTCTCTGCCGTCCACGGCGCATACGAAGGCTTGGGTTGGAGATTGGTCGTCCACGTCTTGGTCTGGTCGGCAATGCTGGAAACACCACTCCGGTACGCCTGCACAATCGAGTTGTCCACCGTCGCACCTGCCACGGCGAAGTTGAAGGTGAGGGTCAACGACGTGTTGAGCTGCGTCGCTAGAAATCCTGGCCAGGTGAGCCCTCCGCTGAACGTGCTGCCAGGCAAAGCTGGGTTGCCCATTGGGTTGGAAGCCGAGGGCTTGGCGCCGCTGATGCTGAAGCCCGTTGAGGTATACGAGTCGCCGCTGGCTCACGTTAGCACGGCTGCGTTCGCGGAGTAGCGGCAGATACTCACAACACAAAGAAGTGTTTGGTCCCTGTTACGGCATTAGCAAAAGGCGCAGCAATTGCCGTCCCTGCGCACAAGAACAACAATGAAAGCTGAGCCAACATTTTGCAGGCAAATATGGTGACAGGTACCAGCTCCTGGTGCGGGTTGAAACTCTGCGGCACACCAAAGCTTATTTGTACTGTCGTAAGGTATGGTTTGGTATGGGGTATGCGAGAGGCTGCTGCTTCAGGCTAAATCATGTAGGCGACGGCACTATCATAAGTCCGCCAAACGACTTATCCGCTTCGATTCATCCATAAGATTCTCCATATTGCCCATCCAGAAGAGCTCCCTGCTGTATTCAGGGCGTGGGGCCGATGAACGTCTCGTGTGTTGGAGTTGCGATGGAGATCTTTGAACCCTGTTGTTTCCCAAACCTCAACCTATGGGGCCACATTCCAGGGTAAATGACAAAAGCTTGTCTTCCAACCACGCTGAATAGACTGGGGCTTGAGAGCCTCAAATTTATCAAGCTCATTGTAGTGATCCATGGCGTAAGGCATCTCAAGAGAAATTCAAGACTTAACTTGAACCGTTACGCTGTCTGGTGACGGTAAAGTTGCAATCAGCCCATTCCCTCAGCTGCCTCAAGAAGCCAGGGTTGATCTCAACAAGCTGCCGCTTACCCTTGAGAAACCCGACAGCCTCATCAACCGACATCTTATGCTTCCGCATCAAGTACGCCGCCACAATGGCTGGTGATCGCGACATGCCCAAAACGCAGTGGACAAGCACCGCTGGCGGAGCTGCGTCCTCTTTCTGCCACGGATATGAGTGTCTGCTTACGGCACCCAGCCAGTGCGTTCTCAATCCAGTCGCAGGCCGCTGACAGGTGCGGAATGATGCTCTGATCAGGGGCGTTGCGGAGGCTGGATGCGCATGTGGGGCAAACCGTTGCTGCGCGACCGAGATAGCTGGCTGAGTAGGTAGACGGTAGATAACACGTGATGGATGTTGAGGTTTTCTAGGATTTCCGGGGATTGGGCGTCCTTGAGTGAGCCGAGATAGAGACGGGGCTCGATGAGGGATGGTGGGTCGGGATGAGGAGGCATCGTGACTGGCGTCCATTTCGGACTTCCCGGTTGGGGTCAAGTTGCACATCGACATCGAAGTCATATTTGTAGGCAGAGCGGTGTTTGATCGCAAACGAAGAATTCTAGCGAAACTTTGGGTTTTCTAGAACTTGAAGCGGAATGAAATGCATAATGTTTGCTAATGTTGATATGAAAGCAACTGAGGCCTTCAGACCCCAGCATGCAAACTGGACCAGGGTCTACCTTGACACTTACCCCTCCAAGTGGAGGCGAGCTGGGGAGGTCGGGCCAATCAGAAAAGCATTTGCAAATCGTCCCAGATACCCGCGACAACCTGGAACGCGCTGAGCTCATCTCACCGCATCCACCACCCGACGACATCCCTCTTTCCCCAATTCATCAAGTCAACGCCATGGCTGGAGTTCAGCTGGGACTCCAGGTCGCCTTCTACCTGTACCCGTGCGGGCTGTTTGTCGCGCTGCTGGCATCGCAGTCCATCTTCTACTACCGCGCGCGACAGGGACGCGGAAGCATCAATTTGAACAATGACGACTCGGCCAAAGATGCCGACGGCATCCGACGCTTCTACGCGCGACTGATCCGCGTGTGCCAATCCATTCTCGCCCTCCTGATCATCCCCGCCATCGTGCTCGTCGTTCGCGATGCGGTCGCCGGCCAAGATGATGGCAGCGATGGCAGCTTCCCCTATAGCGCCTATTTGGCCGCCTATGTCGGCGTGCTGCTCTTCTTCCTCGCCGGCCTGCTCCCCAACCCCGATGGGCCGTGGTCGCCAACCGTGTCCCACTGCCACTCTTGGATTGCCAGCGCCCTTCTAGAGGCTGTCGTGGCAGCCCTCTTTGTCGCCGAGCGCCGCTATATCGAGGTGCCCGCTGGAACTCTCAACACCCTGGTCGCCCTGGGCTTGGCCAGAATCTTGACCTTGGGCGTCATGATCGCCCTCATTGTGCGCCGTCACTACGCCCTGCGATCGCCCCAGTCAGCATCCCCTGACGGCGAGCGTCAGGGACTGTTGGAGAACGGCCAGAACGGCCAAGCAGCACCCCGAGGCGGGAAACCGCGAGACGCCCAGGACTCGGGCTGGCTAGACTATGTCGCCGGCTTCCGCGTCCTCTTCCCCTATCTCTGGCCCAAAGATTCTCTCTTGTATCAGTTTGTCGTCGTCATCTGCCTCATTCTGCTCGTCTGCCAGCGTGTTGTGAACTTCTTGGTTCCCCTGCAGCTCGGCGTGCTCGTCAAGACCCTCGGATACGGCCACATTCCGTACCGCGATATCGTCCTCTACGTCGTCTATCGCTCGCTCCAGGGCAATCAAGGCATCCTCGGCGCCGCCCGCTCCGTCCTTTGGATTCCCGTGTCGCAGTCGCTCTTCCGCCGCCTCTCATGTGCCGCGTTTGAGCACGTCCTGGGTCTCTCGCTCGACTTCCATCTGAGCAAGAAGATTGGCGAGGTCACCAGCGCCCTCAGCCGCGGCTCCGCCATGAACACCTTCCTCGAGAATTTCGTCTTCCAGGTCTTCCCCATGATCTTTGACATCTTTGTTGCCGGTGTTCTATTCTTTATCAAGTACGACGCCTTCTACACCATAATCGTGTTCTTCATCATGTGGTCGTACATCTTCCTGACCATTTACATGGCCAAGTACCGCGGTCGCCAGAGGAGAGCTATGGCCACCACGGCGCGCCAGATGGACGCCGTCAAGACGGACGCCATCATGGCCTACGAAACGGTGCAGCACAACTGCGCCGTCGGCCCCGAGACTGAGCGCTTCCGCGGCCATGTCATCGGCTATCAAAACGCGGAGCGTCTGGTTCTGTGGTCGCTGAACGGACTGAATCTCACACAAAGCTCCATTTTCTCTGTGGGCACTGCCCTGCTCGTTGCTGTGTCGGCCTACAAGATCTCGAGGGGCCAGCAGGAGGTGTCCGAGTTCGTCACCCTGATCGTCTACTTTACGCAGTTGCAGGGACCTCTCAACTTTTTTGGTACCTACTACACCATGCTGCAGAACAACCTGATCGAAGCGGAACGCATGCTGGATCTGTTCAAGGAGACGTCGGGCATTGTAGAAAAGCCCGACGCTATCAAGTTTACCAACCCACAAGGCTCGGTCGAATTCCGTGACGTGAAGTTTACTTACCAAGGCAAGACGAGCAAGCCTGCCCTTGACGGCATTAGCTTCACGGTCGCCCCCGGCACCAAGACCGCTATCGTCGGCGAGTCCGGCAGCGGCAAATCGACCTGCCTCAAGCTTCTCTTCCGCTTCTACGACGTCGAGTCGGGAGCCATTCTCGTCGATGGCCACGACGTCCGGGACCTGCAGCTTGACAGCCTGCGGCGGACCATCGGCGTGGTGCCGCAGGACACGGTCCTCTTCAACGCCACCATCATGTATAACCTGCTGTACGCTAACCCGAACTCCACCGAAGCCGATGTGCACGAGGCCTGCCGCGCCGCCAACATTCACGATCGCATCATGGACTTCCCGGATCAGTACGATACCATGGTCGGGGAGCGCGGCCTGAAGCTTTCGGGTGGCGAGCGTCAGCGTGTAGCCATTGCACGGGCCATCCTCAAGGATGCGCGCATCCTGCTGCTGGACGAGGCCACCGCGTCGCTTGATTCGCACACGGAGCGGTTAATTCAGGATGCGCTGGAACGGGTCACGTCTGGGAGGACGACGGTGACGATTGCGCATCGTCTGTCGACGATCACCCATTCGGACCAGATTGTGGTGTTGCACAAGGGCGAGATTGTGGAGAGAGGGACCCACTCCCAACTGCTTGCGCTTGGAGGGAGGTATCAGGCGATGTGGGAGAAGCAGACAACGGCAGAGAAGACGGAAAAGAAAGAGGATTGAGACTCGGATGGAATTGGGTCAGTTGGCCATGTACTCCTTGCGTCCGAAAACCCAGCAAAGAAGGGAGGAAAGTGTCTTCGGTGAAGAGGGGTTGGAAAGCTCAGTGTAGGACTCGAACCCACAACCGTGAAATGATCTGGAACCAGAAGATTTAAGAGTTTATGCTCTACCATTAAGCTAACCAAGCCTTTTTTGCCCTCAATTTGATTACGCGTCGACCTTAAAAGGTGGTATCTATATGAGGGGTGGCCGCTTGGAAGCAGAAGCATGCTGGAGTTGTGTGTGGATTCGAGGTTGTTGTGAACTGTGATGCCACTTTGTAGGTGGGAAGCTTTCATTGGCTCTTTGCTATTACAGCCTGAGATGCTTTGACACTAGGTGTGGATATGTCTTTTGTGAGCTTTGGGAACTGGGGAGAGCGAAGACAAGTCGGGAGACTGTAGATTTTAGAGAAAAGTATGACATCCTGTTTTCCAACCGGTCACATTGTTCCCTTAAATATTCACTAAAATCTTGCCATTAGAACAACCTTGCTAACCTCATGACAGTTTCTACAACCCCTTCAAAAGTCCAATGCCCAAGGGCTTGCTGCTAGTGTAGTGTCCCTCCAAAGGGCTGTATATAGACCAACCCAGGGAACCACTTTGGTAGCGGCCGTGCCAGGATTCCGCGGCGTACAGGAGCGTCGGGATGACACTTGCTTGAAGGCCTGAACCGCTAGCCGCTAGGAGAGCCCTTTCGCTCTGCTGGATATCCGCGTTAGGAGCCCGACAGCCGTGGCGGCCTTAGCTGCTTGGCGTGGCTCCCGAACGTCAGGGCCGGGTCGAACCACACCCCCAGCCCGCGGAGGGAGGTGCGGTGCGGCGCCGTGGCCCCCCGGTAGATAATGTCCGGCCTGGGGCCCTTTTTGAGCGTGAAGCGGATGTGTTCACTCTTCTCGTCGTCGAAAGGAACGCCGTTATCCCGTCCGTCCCTATGCTAGTAGCCTTGCCAGCCGCTCAGTGAGCTTTCCCTGCGATGGAGGTTTGGAGTCAGGGGGTTGGCCCATACAACACCCCAACCCTCGAAAGTTATTCGAGGACAAACATCCCGAGGGAAATGGCATGTACCCATACAAGCAAATGCCTTCCACTCCAGAGAAGAAGCGCGGAATGGTGTGTTCCAAAAGTTACCTCGGTATGGGCAACCATTATCAGCGTCCACATCGCCCTCAAAACAACCTTTTAGCCTCTCCAACGGTCTTGCCCGACCCAACTGAGCCGTCTACGTCATGACTCCCGCTGAATAACAACCCCCCTCCCCCCCCCCTCTCACCAGGAACATCCGCGCTCCCCCACCGTGGATCTGCTAGGAGAAATATGCCGGACTGATAGATCTGACAGCTCTAGCTCCTAGATCCAGGCGAACCCTCAGCTCGAGTCGTGATCGCGCACCTAGATGCGTGAGACTCGCAAAGACCTCTCCCACACCCCACTCATGAGCGCGTCATCCATATCGCGCAGTCCCTATTAGCGTAGACCACGAGTATCACCACCTGCAAGTCTAGACGCAATGCCGGATAAAGCGAAACGATCCTCATGCGACCAAATCACGCGTGAAGTAAGGGGATCATCAACCCCCCGGGACCCCGAACCTCGATCATGATACAAATGGCAACCCGCCTCGCCCTCAAGCGCAGCACCCACCAACCTCGCGGCATCGCCATCGCCAGAACAGCTGTCCTTCCCAACCATCAGCTTCTCACCAGCCCCCCAAAGCGAGCCATGTCCACCACCGCCCCCACCGGCGCAGATGTCTCGACACTGCAAAAGATCAAAAACACACTCGCCGAGAACTTTGGCGGGCCCATCTCCAAGCTGGGGTCGCACCAGTTTAGTCTCGACGAGTGTCCCGACCTGACTGGCAAAGTGGCCGTGGTGACGGGCGGCAGCCAGGGCATCGGCTTCGGGGTGGCGTACACGCTGCTCAAGCATAACCTGGCCAAGCTGTACATCATCTCCGTCTCTGCCGACGTGATTGAGAAAGCCAAGGCAACCATTGCAGCAGAGCTCGGGCAGGACAAAGCCGACCGGATCATCTGGAAGCAGTGCGACCTGGCCGACTGGCGGCGGGTCAAGGAGGTCGCGGAGGCGATTGCCAATGACACGGACCGGCTCGATATCCTGGTGAACAACAGCGGGCGGGGCATCATGAACGCACAGCTGACCGACTACGGCGTGGACCGGCACATGGCGGTCAACCACATGGGGCACGTGGTGCTGACGAGCTACCTGCTGCCGGTGATGAAGAAGACGGCCGAGCAGGGTAACGTGGTGCGCATCAGCAACCAGTCGAGCAACGCGCACAAGGGCGCGCCGGCCGACACCAAGTTCGCCAGCGTGGCCGAGATCAACCGCGACAGCGGGCCCAACGGGCAGTATGGCCGGAGCAAGCTGGCCGGGCTGCTGTACACGCGGTACTTTGACCGGAACGTCACGCAAAAGGGGCACCCCAACGTGCTCATGAATGCGACGCATCCCGGGTTTGTGAGCACCAAGCAGAGCACCCAGGACATCCATGAACCGTAGGTCCTTCGCTCTGGTAGCACCGGTGGGAACATGCAAGCTGATGTGTCTCGCACAGGTATCCCGTCAGTGGCTATGCCATGTCGTACGGCATGGACCCGTTCAAGAAGAGCCAGTTTGAGGGCGCCGTGCCGACTGTGTTTGCCGTGACTACGACCAAGAACTCGGGCCAATTCATTTGCGCGCCAGCAACGCCCGAGGAGGCGAGCGAGATGGCGCAGAGCGATGAACTGATGGAGAACCTGATGGAGCTCACGAGAAATGTGGTGACCGAAAAGACGGGAGGGGAATCTGTAGTGTCTCTTTAAGGACTGTGTTGGTTGTGCAGATGCTGCTATCCGAGATTGACTCTGTTTTGAGAAACTTGTCTGCTGGCTCATTTGCTGCTGGTTTATTTGCGGCTCAACTTGAGTGGGAGGAACCGCGGAGGCTTGCTGAGCTGCGGGCTCGCGAACCTATCTCAGACTACACCTGTGGGCTGGCGGATCTGGGTTGAGCATGCATGTACCTTCATTCAGCTAAGCTTTACTTATATCCCAATATGTCCAATCACTCGATTGATACAATACTGGGTGCCGTTGACGGCGATTTGGAAGTCACCGCGGAGGGACTTCCCCCAACAGCATGACAACACCCTCTCGGGTACCAAGAGGAGCACGGCATGAGCGCCTGAGACACCTTCCAGAATGCAGCGGAAAAAGACAGAGCGGGCGAACAGACGATCGTTTGAAAACTGCTCGACGGCGGAGAATTTTCACCACTCAAACGAGGGGCCACTTGACCGCCTTGAGGGGAAAGATCGGCTCGCTTCAACGCATGCATGATGCAGCACGCACGGGAAGCCGATTGCCAACCAATTTGGGCCCGTTTCGTTTTGACATGACGGACTGGCGAACAGAGCCCGGAAAAGGACGCAGTCCAAGCACATGATGGTTTTTCGGTGGTGTGCTGAACGTCGATTGGAACTGATGTCGAGCAGCAGGAATCAAGCGTCAACCCCAGGAAACACGAAACAAGCTAGGCAGCTGGTAGGCAGGGAGATTCCGTCGCAATTCCTCTGAGTCCAGAGGGGACCGTGACCGCGGGACCTGGTGTGGGTCGCAGTCAGGCCCAGGCAGTGCAACTGTGGCTCGCGTGGAGCGTGGATTGACCCCTCGAGTTCCATTTACATCCTGGAATGCATCTTGGCCTGGAATGGGACCGGCCCAAGTCTGGCCCATGTTTGGCCCATGTTTGTTTGCCGTTCCCCCTCAACGACCTTGAAAAATCCCCGAAAAATCTCTGCAGAATCGCTGACGCAATCCAGCTGACTCGGCGGGGTTTTTGCACCACTGCAACTGCTTCTTCTTTTGTGTGCGGCGAACTTGGAACGCTGCGAAATAAGAAAGTCATACAAGGGAAAAAGGCAAGAAGATGACGCGCTGAGGGGCCCTGGGTGCCCCTTTCCCATTTGCGACCGGCGAATTTTAGGTGCCGAGCCGGAGCCCATCACACCACAGCCCAGAGGCAGGCCGCCAAGCGGCCCTAGCGCACACGGCCACAACCGGGCTGGCCCCTGTTTCCACAACGCTGGGAAGCAGTGACGAGAGTGACGAGGGTGACGGCGCCGCTGATTCGCTGGGGTTCGCTGTTATAAATTGTTAGTGACGAGGAGGGAAAGGTGGGAAAGTGGGAAACAACGGAGGGGAGGGGGCTGACCCGCTCACACCCTCCAGTTGCCGTCTTCATTAAAATATGCAGGGGCCACCGTCCATTTTATGTCGAAGTGTCGTAATGTCTGAGCATCGGTCGCGTTTCCGCGAGAGCGCGGGGGAGGAGAAAGACGAGCAGAGGAGGAGATACAATCAAAAGACAGAAACTCAAAATCAAATTAATCAAATGCAGGCGGGAGCCCGCAGCTGTCAGCTGTCAGCTAGCCAGCCAGCTCCAGCTCCAGCTCTAATATCGCTCCATTGATATTCCACGAATTCCTGGCCCAGCGCTCCCACTTGCTGGAGCTGCTGCACAGGCGGCACGACAGGCTAACCGCAAGGAGCGCAAGCAATCAGAAAGCCAATTCGGCACCAACCGTCCCGGCAGCGCCTGCAGCGACTGGTTTGGCTCGCCCTGCGCGCTCCCACAGGTCCCCACATGCGCCACGGTGCCGACCAACGCGAGGTGCAGTTGGCCTCGCCATCGCTTGCTTCTTCCCAGAGAATCCTTCGCTGACCAGAATCCAACGAGACTGGACCTCCTTTCCTGCGACTCCCTTCCACAGTACGGCTCCCCTCTTTCCTACGGCTCTCTTCCCTTTGGCTGTCGACATCGCTCATTGCTGCACGCTGCCATTGCTGCATCCTGCAGACAAACGAGACGCCGCAGCTGGTCCCTGTGTTGCCTGCTGCCCATTCGTTTTGCCCAAATCCTCATTCCTGAGATACCAGATCCCCAGATTGCCGACGTTCCAACATTCCTTCGCCCTGACTTTCCGCGTAGCCCATCGCTCTCTTTGGTCGCCAGTACGACGGTCGGCCCCTTACATCGATTGGCCATGTTTCCATCCTCACTGTCGCTCCTCACCTTCCCATGACCCGACACTGCGTTGCGACGTCTGTTGTGTGGCCGTAGATCGGCAACCCTTTGC